ACCCGGGTAGCAATTTTGTTGAAATTTGAATTATGTTACCATGGTGGAATGTAACTAAGGTAAAATATGTTGCACAGGTAGGTGAAATTTTACCAAGATGGAATGTTACCAAGGTGAAATATTAACAAGATTGAATGTTACGATGGGGAAATATTTCACCAAGTAAGAATGTTAATAAGTTAAAATATGTTACCAAGGTGAAATATGTTACCAAGACGGAATGTTACCAATATGGAATGTGACCAAAATGGAATGTTACAAAATTGAATATGTTACCAAAATGGAATGTTACCAATCCTCTCAGTATGAAGTGTATATTAGTGTGAGAGTGTGAGTGTGGTAGTGTGAGTGTGTGGTTGTGTGAGTATGGTAGTGTGAGTGTGGTTGTGTGAGTGTGGTAGTGTGAGTGTGGAAGGGTGAGTGTGGTTCTTGAAATCCAAATAAATCATAGAATATGGGTTGCTGTGTAGTGTGTATACATCTGTATATTGACCATGTTTGTCTGCTTGTTTGTCTGTTTACAGTTTAACGCCAGGGACTTTTTTTTGATAATAATTCCGAACATTTTTCCCCAATCCTTACTTTCTTAGCCTTATATCTTTGGAACTAAATGGTTTAAATCTTTGGTATTTCAAACTTTAACTATTAGATCTAATAGAATTCATAGATTGAAATGCTGTATAAGGTTGCAAAGAGTAAGGGATAGAAAATGAGAGTAGTTAAAACCAAGTGTTCAGTTTCTTCGCCAAATATTTTAGTATAGAACACAGAATGTAAGAAATTATTTGAGAAATCCAAAATTGACTAATATTTGGTTACTCGATTGTGTTAAAAAAACGAAGAATAAAACTCATTTTAAACCGAATTTTTAAAGTTGAGACTCTTCGATTTCTACGTAAAATTTCCGATTAAATGAACCAAATTAAAGGGACTGTTAGCGTACTTTTAAGTGACCCTCAATGCAAAGATGACAATGCCTGATTCACAACGGTACCCTTGAAACCTTTATCAGGTCAATAATAAGAAGATTATTGTCGTTTTTCTAGGTTTTAAAGTTTTTAGATCTGAAAATTCCTAAATGTTTTCCTGCCGGGCCGTATGAAAGGTGCAAGTCACTTACAGAATCCACGATTGAAAATAATCAGTTTTAAAAAAGTAAACATTAATATCTAATTCATACTTCATCACAAAAAGATTTTAATGATACCGTTGTGAATCGGGCCTTTCCATCTAGGCATGGAGGGTCACTTAAAGTTACTCTTAAAGTTCTTAAGGATAAGGAAAAATACGAGGATCGGGAAAGGCGTGGGATGCTAAGAAAGGCATGCCAACAGAGGGATGATAAAAAAGAGATGATAAGAAAGGGATGCTAAGAAAGGGATGATAAGAAAGGGATGATAAGAAAGGGATGCTTAGAAAGGGATGCTAAGAAATGGATACTAAGAAAGGGATTCTAAGAAAGGGATGCTAAGAAAGGGATGCTAAGAAAGGGATGCTAAGAAAGGGCTGAAAAGAAAGGGATGATAAGAAAGGGATCCTAAAAAAGAAAAGCTAAGAAAGGGATGCAGGATGACAAGTAAAGATATATAGAGAGAGAGAAGTCTAGTGGGATATGAATAAAATAAGTATCTCAGCAGAACCAATCTTCCTTTCAATGTTTGTAATTAGTCTCAAGGTTGAAAACACACGACCTCTTGACATCCTTACCTTTTAGGACCTCAGGTTCAATTCATGTACGCTCTACATGGAGACAGTACAAAAAGTACTTAAAAAACATGGTGTACAAAACTATTTTGATATAGTAATAAACCCAGATCTCATCCAGCCTTTTAAATTTCAGATATGGTATTAATCCTTCAATATTCTAGATATTTTATTCATTCCTCAAATTTCTAGATATTGTATCCATCCTTTAAAATACTATATATTGTATCCATCCTTTAATATTCTAGATAAAGTATCCATTCTTAAAATTCTAGATATTGTATCCATCCTTTAATATTCTAGTTATTGTTTCCATCCATTAATATTCTAGATATAGTATCCATTCTTTAACATTCTAGATATTGTATCCATCCTTTACTATTCTAGGTATTGTATCCATCTTTCAATATTCTAGATAACGTATCCTTCCTTTAACATTCTAGATATTGTATCCATCCTTTAACATTCTAGGTATTGTATCCATCCTACCATCCTTCAATATTTAGGTTGATATATGAAACCTTAAAGTTATCATTAATCAGCTAGAACTAGTCCAATAGATAGACCAGGAGAAAGCGTGAGGGAATTTTAATGATTGAATTTTATATCTGAACCAATAAATAGAAGGAGGAGAAATAGAAATTGAGGGAGAAATGCAAAGAGAGGGATGGAAATAAAGAAAATAGGGAAAGAGAGAATAATGATAGAGGGAGAGTGAAAGAAAAAAAAAAAAATTGACAAAGAAGTAGGCATAAATGGATAAATATGTATTAAAAGGGGATAAAGGTGAATAAAGAGGGGATAAAGGTGAATAAAGAGGAGATAAAGGTGAATAAAGAGGAGATAATGGTGAATAAAGAGGAGAT